CTCTTAGGGGCATTTGTCATGAGTAGGGCAGCTGCCAAAAAAAAGAACAGGCAGTAAAGAGTGTTCCTGCTACACTCAGATGTGAATCCAGCCTCAGTGTTTACCAGTAACAGGCTTAAAACATATCTACCAATGGCAAAACAAGGGGCGTCCCTAGGGTTGGTGTCACCCGGTGCAGTAACACTTGGTGACACCCCCTCCGACGATCCGAACAGAATGGATCGGATCTGCGGATTGAGCATAATGGATCGGACTCCAATCCATTATGCTCCCCAATCCGCAGATCTGATCCATCCTGCGGGGATCGCCGGCTTTCTTTACAACTTACCTTTTTGTGGAGCGGGTCCGGTGTCACCCCGTGTAGGTTGCATGCTGATGATCCCCACAGGATGGCTCAAATCTGCAAATTGAGCATAATGGATCGGAGTCCGATCCATTATGCTCCCCAATCCGCAGATCCCATACATCCTGCGGGGATCGCCGGCTTTCTTTACAACTTACCTTTTTGTGGAGCGGGTCCAGTGTCACCCCGTATAGGTTGCATGTTGATGATCCCCGCAGGATGGTTCAAATCTGCAGATTGAGCATAATGGATCGGAGTCCGATGCATTATGCTCCCTAATCCGCAGATCCCATACATCCTGCGGGGATCATCAGCATGCAACCTTTTTGTGGAGCGGGTCCAGTGTCACCTCGTGTGGTAGGTGCCACCCGGTGCGGAGCGCACCCCCCGCACCTGCCTCACTGGAAAAGCTGTTCTATCTTGCAGCTTAACAGTCCAGTGGTGGCTGCATTCATTTTCTAATTTCAGGGGGGGGGGTCATTTATTTTCCCCTGGTGACCTTGTCAGTAACACCTAGGGTGTCGTAGGGTGACAACTGACCCTTACTATATCTATAGAGTAGTAGTGTTGTCACCCCAGAAGAGGAAGCATGTTAAGACTTCACAACAACTCTCCCTCTTCTCATCCCCATAATGTTGAGGGGAGGTGTTCTGTAGTCCACAGAAGTGAACTGGGAAGTCTGATAACATTGAGATGTCAGTTCAGTGCACAGGTTGTTAGAAATTCTTGCTTTTGCTATACCTTGATGAAAATTACTATACAGTATGTGTGTCATACCTATATGCTTTTTATAACACTCAATTGTTTATTCAACTGAAGAGTCATGGTGGAGTAACAGGACTTCTGTTTTCCTCGACAGGTTTGAGTCGTGCGGCTCTTCCATTCGGGTTAATGCGGCGGGAGCTGGCATGTGAAGGATACCCGATCGAATTAAGGTGCCCGGGCAGTGACGTTATCATGGTGGAAAATGCCAACTATGGGAGGACGGACGACAAGATTTGCGACGCCGACCCCTTCCAAATGGAAAACGTGCAGTGCTACCTGCCGGACGCCTTCAAGATTATGTCGCAGAGGTGGGTAATGGACTTGCTTTCACGCCAAACAGTTTAATTCATATTATGCGTATTTCTAGGTTGTCAGGTAACATTTGTACCGATGGCTTTCCTTTCTGAAGATTTCATATAGATGTAGAAGTGTAGCAGCCGCCTGTATTTTGTGAGCTATTCGGTGGCTTTTGGAGCAGTAATATGCAATACTCTGATGTCCCATAAAATAGAGAGAGTGTTGGAATTGCTGGGTTCTGTGATTATGCTGTTGAGATGATCTGAAGATCTCTGACAGTTTTATTCTGTGATTATGCTGGACTATTACATGTATATCTGCATTTCCAAAGTATTTCTTACCATTTAAAGGTAGGAAATATTCACATACCTTACTTAGCATTCAAGTCAACTTTTTAGATATATAAATAGACCTTCCGATGAAAGATTGATACATTTACAGAGGTGGCCAGATGTTTAAAAATGCTTCCAATTTAGTGGTCAAGGATTATGTGTTAGTTTAGGAATAGTGCACATGTGTGTTCAATAAAATAATTACATATCTTTTTAGAACTAATCAAGGGCTCATTTACACTAACGGCAAGAACTGCAGCTTCTCTGAAAAGCAATCTACACTTGGATCACCTTTCAGAGGCCTTTGACAGGTGGTGAGGAGTTGATATGTTGCCTCCTCACCGCCATACCACAATTGTGTGCTTTGCAGATGGTTACGGGGTGGTTGCAGCGCTGCCCCGTTCACTTAAATGGGTTGCATTTGGCAGGCAGTAGTGTCCACCGAACGTTAAAGGGGGTATAATTCCTGTAAAGCATCAAGGCTGCGTCATGTGTATAGCCCCGGCTGCCATGTGGTTTTACCACCCTCCCAAGGGCTTGTTTACACTTATGGTTTCGGGGGGCAGTAATACCAAGTCCCCACCCACCTTATGTTGCAAAGACAGCCAGACGGGGTTGTACACATGCGTCAGGTATGGAGAAAATTTTCCCTACCAGGAAATCTGTCAGACAGAACGATCGTCAAGAAATGCAAATGGCTGCAGTGTGGTAGTTCGAAACAGGGGCGGACTGACAATTCATGGGGCAATAGGGGATCATGGGGCCCCTGTGTCCTTGCCCAAACTCAAAAAAGCCTATGAAAAAGGTACCAGGGGCATCTCATGGGGCCCCCTACTGACCCCGGGCCCTCCGGCAGTGCCTGAGTTTCCAAATGCTCAGTCCACCCCTGGTTCGAAAATGAAAAGTTTAAAACAGGCTGCAAGGAGGCGACATATCAGCTACTTGTCAAATGCCTCTGAAAAGCAATCCACTGCAGATCGCTTTTCAGAGGAGTGAAAAAGGTCACCCCTAGTGTAAATGTACCTTTAGTTTATACTGACGATAGGGGAGCAGTAAAGATAGGCAGTTGAGCCGCATTTTTTACCAAGCCCTAAACGCCCCCTTTCTCTAAAGCTGCAAATGCCACTCTGCTTTGTGTCACGGGAAAAAAAACAATTCCCTATTCAATTAAATATGGCCATGCAGCAAACACAATCTAAGCCCTAGGCTTGCGGTTGTGGAATGGTCATCCCATTCAAAAAGTCCATTTGGCTGTCCAAAAAAAAAAGAAAAGGGCAGTGTTGCCTCCTGAATTCCTGTTGACTGCACCTGAACCGCTCTGTGATGAATGATACACCACGGATCGCTCCTCGCGGAGTGACGCAGGAATAAACAAGCCCATAAGGAGCTGATTTTGACTCAGTATTAGCCCCAAATTTTAATTTCAGGCTTAGACAACTTACACAGTGCTAGATTTTCAGGAGTAATATGATTGTTTTAGGGGGGTATACAAGGTTAATTGGGAGACAAACTGAACAGTTCCAGTTGCAGCACCAAAACATCGAAAACCAAACATGCTCAAAGCTCAAGGCCAGAGATAAGAAAACCAGCTTTTAGCAGTAAGGACGGATTTAATGACATAAACGCACACCGCAATAAACAATCAGACAAAGTAGCCAATAGCAACTTTTTTTTTTCTCTCAATCTGAATTCTCTTCTCAATAATTTCATGCTTGGATGACAGAAATTTTCCATTATGCTGAGTGATATCTGCGCTGAATGCTAACCACCGCGCCTCAATATTTCTTCTTATCACAAATTCATTGCATATACTATCGGATTATCATTGGCGGCTCTCAAATGTCTTCCTTCACGTAGGAAAACGTTGGAGTTTATGGCCGCTATCTTATTTCTTTGCAAAATATAGAAAGTAGAGAGGTAAAAAATAAGGGGTATATATAATGCACTGATACCGTACTTCTTCTTCTAGGATCTGGATAATACCAAGGAGCCATTCACATAATTATAATGAGCACTTGTCAATGGGCGTTGTGGTACGCGTTTATTTAACCATTTCACCTCTCATGCCTGTTCACCCCTTAGGCTGGCAATTTAGTATGCAATTGTCTTGTACATTTTTCCTTTAGATTTACAAAAACCATATATTATCAAGTCAAACCGAAACACTGTTAACCTCTTCCCGTCCTTCATTTGCTGATGCGGGGGGATGTGTCTAATCATCCCTCCGCATCCATTGCCTGTGCGCACTACCTGGGAGCATGCAGCGTCCCGATCTGTGCCCGCTGTGTCCACCAGACACAGCAGAACACAGATCGATGTACGGGACAGCTGTGTGAGGTCCCAATTCATATAATCAGTGATTGGTCAATCAGTGATCACATGAACAGTAGTAAACAAGATGTCACTTCCTGACATTGTTTACTACTTGTGAATTCTGTGAATGATCACAGAGGTCACATGGTACAAGGCCATTCACAACAGCCTTGTACCATGTGACAAGCTGTGACCAATCACAGCTCTCACAGTATTTCTCAGTGGCTGTAGGAATGTAGCCAGAGAGAAGAAATGATTGCTTTTACAGCCTATGGCTGTAAAAGCAGTGTAAAAAAACAAAATCTTCATCACCCCCCACAAATAGTGCAGTGTCACTATGGTGACACTGTACTGCTAGGAAAACAATATGTAAAAAAAAAATACATAAATAATAATAAAAATAAAATTAAAACTTATTTTGTAAAATTAGAATTATTTTTTTATAAACTGATTTGGGTTATTTGTTTTTTACCAAAAAGATAGCTGAATACATTTTGGTCAAGATTTATGAAGAAAGATTATTTCCAAAATTTTATAAGGAAAACACTTATTTTTCAAAATGTTTTGGTCTTTTTCCATTTATATAGCAAAAAAATAAAAATCCCAGTGGTGAATAAATACCACCAAAAGAAGGTTTTATCTGTCTCAAATAAATGCTAAAAATTTCATTTGGGTACAGTGTTGCATGACCGTACAATTGTCACAAAGTGTGACAACGCTGAAAGCTGAAATTTGCCTGGACTGGAAGGGGGTGAAAGTGTCCAGACTTGAAGTGGTTCATTTATATGCAATCAGGAAGGTCCTTGTACTAGATAGTTGAAGGTAAATCTAAAGGAAAATGAACAAGTAAACTGTACGAGGGGCGTTTAATTTTACAGGTATAACAAGGGATGCTAGTGTGGTGGTACTACACACAGTAGTAAGTGGCAAGTGTGTCCTATTACTGACAGATGGCAAGTCCAAAGACTTTTAATAAAGATGGCAGCAGTGTTAGTGCGTGTACAGGGGCGGACTGACAACTCATGGGGCCCCCAGGCAATAGGGGATTATGGTGCCCCTGTGTCCTTGCCCAAACTCAATAAAGCCTATGAAAAAGGTATCAGGGGCATCTCACGAGGCCCCCTACTGACTCCGAGCCCTCGGGCAGTGCCCGAGTTTCCAAATGGTCAGTCCGCCCCGTGCATGTATGAAACAGCGTGTGATGATGAAGTTTCTTGTGAATGAAGGCGTAAAACCCATGGATATCTACAGAAGACTTCAAGTACAGCACAGTGAGGAGACAATCAGCTGCAGTAAGACATCTGAATGGTGTAAACATTTCAAAGATGGTTGGATGGTTGTATGTCCATCATCCTGGCCTTGGTGGTTCCCAGTCTACAGCAGTCATTCCTGAGAACATTCATCATGGTGAAATGCCCGATCCTGAATAATTGATGCGTAACCTGTCGTGAAATTGCACAAGAGACGAATCTTTCTGTGGGAATGGTGAACACAATGATGGTGAAGTGAAGCAGGCTGTCCTAGGATGGTTCGAGTGTACTGAAAAATCTTTCTATGCCAAAGCTTTCCAGGCATTAGTTAAGTGCTGGGATAAGTGGATAAATGTAGCAGGGAAGTATGTCAAAAAAATAAATGCAGTTTCTACTCCTTGAAATTTGTTCTTTTATTATATAAACTCAAAAGTTGTAGTTTGACTTGAATGCCCCTCATATAACGTATGGTCAGCCATATACAGTTAGGTCCATATATATTTAGACACCGGCACAATTTTCATACTTTTGGCTCTGTATGTCACCAGAATAAATTAAAACAAAACAATCCAAATGAATTTGAAGGGCAGACTTTCAGCTTTAATTCAAGGGGCTGAACATTGATATCAAGAACAAATGTAAGGAACTGAAACCATTTTTATACACAGTCCCTCCATTTTCAGGGGCTCAAATATAATTGGACAGATTAATATAATCATAAATAAAATGTTCGTTTTTAATATTTTGTTGAGAATCCTTTACTGGCAATGACTGCCTGAAGTCTGGAACCCATGGACATTACCAAAGACTGGGTTTCCTCCTGTCTGATGCTTTTCCAGGCTCTAACTTCAGTTGTCTTCAATTATTCTTTGTTTGTGAGTTTTTCTGCCTTTAGTTTTGCCATTGCAGAATATTCCACTTCTTTTCCTTCAAAAGTTTCTGGGTTGCTTTTTCAGTGTGTTTTGGATCATTGTCCATCTGTACTGTGAAGCGTCGTTCAATCAACTTTGCTGCATTTGGCTGAATCTGGGCTGACAGTGTATCTCTAAACACTGCAGAATAGATCAGGCTGCTTCTGTCACATCATCAATAAACACCAGTGACCCAGTGCCACTGGAAGCCATGCATGCCCATGCCATCACACTGCCTCCACCATGTTTTATAGATGACGTTGTGTGCTTTGGATCATGAGCTGTTCCAAGCCTTCTCCACACTTTTTTCTTCCTGTCATTCTCATACAGATTAATCTTAGTTTTATCCATCCAAAGAATGCTTTTCCAGAACTGGTCTGGCTTTTTTAGATTTTATTTGGCAAAATCTAATCTGGCTTTTCTATTCTTCAGGTTTATGGAAATGATTTCATTTTTTTAAGCAGTGTTGATTTAAATATAAATAGTGTTATTGTAGAAAAAAATTGTAGATTTTATTCTGCAATTTTCCCTGTTTAAAATGACACTAAAATTATAATTCTGGTACAAAGAAATGCAAAGTTATTTACAAATGAAATAAAGTGCCTTTTTGTTTTTTGTTTTTTTGTTTCATTTTTTTGCTTTTTAAATTGATTCTAAAGGCTTTTAAAAAAAAAACAAAAAAAAAAACAAACATGTCTATACTTACCTGCTATGTGAAGTGGTTTTGCACTGAGCAGCCCAGATCCTCCTCTTCTCAGGTCCCCTGTCTGCGCTCCTGGCCCCACAACAAGCAGCTTGCTATGGGGGTAAAGGTGTACAAATATTGAACAAAACTAACAAAAACAAATAAAAATATGCTACTTTGTATCTCTGTATAGAGTCTGTACTGTATATGTTATTGATAAACACCATCAAGCTGCTTTTTGTTTGCAGATGCAGCTGGACCAACCTTCTCTGTGTACGCAACAATGCTGGCTTTGATTGACCACTTGCCACAGTAAAATGCAGGCGGGAGGCTTGTATAGGCACAATCGCCTACCTGTACGTCAGCAGTGTCTTCTGGGTTCAGGGCGCGGGCAAGCACCCCTGGCCAACTCCCTCTGTGATTGGACATAGCAGGATTTTGTCGACAGGTTTCAATCAATGATTCATGGCTCAGACATAATATAAGGGGGTACCACCAGTCCTGTACAGGGCCCAGGCCAACAGGGGGGCCCAGGCAGCTGGGTGAATCAGGGCAATAACTGGAACCGATGAATGGCTCTCTCTGCAGCAGGTGAAAGCTTCTCTCCCTCCCACTGGCTTTCAGCTGCTGTAAAGATCGACATACAGAGGATCGGTTGCCCCCCCGGCTGCACCCCTCACTTTTCCTGCACCATACATTGCCCCCACCCCTACAGTATTGCCGGCTTCAATCCTCTCCTTCCCACTGGCAGCTGCACGCACACAATAGGATCCTTCAGGATGGAGGGCAGGTGAATGGCCCGGTAAATATGTCACATTTTCCAGGCCCTCCCTTTCCTGAATGAACACAATGAGTGATCGGTATCTATTGCTCACTGTGTTCATTCATATACCGATGCATAGTAAACTGTATTTCTTTTAGGGAGGGCCCTGTCAGGTTGGCTGTTTGGGGCCCTGAGATTTCTAACAGCTGCCCTGCTGCTTACTAACTGTGTCCAATCACAGCCAGAGCACTGTGTTGGCAAACAACACAGGGCTCTGTACAGAGGAAATGATCTGTTTGTTTCTTCTCTCTTTAAAGCAGGGAGAAGTAACAAACACATTACACACGTTAACACTTGTTAGGCACACACTTAAAGCGGAACTCCATCCAAAAGTCCCCCCCTCTTTGAGATTTGCCAATCTTTTTGGGAGGGGGGGTGGGTACCTGGTTTTGACAGGTGCACACTTCCACCCAGGTCGCCTAGGAGGTGATCCAAGCAGAGGTTCTCCTTCCCCCCTCCCTCCCCGCAGTCTTCTAGGACATGGCACAGGGCTGCCAATGCACCACAATATACCCAGAATTGGACACGCACCATTTGATTTGTAGCAGCGCACTACAGTGAACGGTATGTGCATTGACATATGTGTGCGTGTGTTGTGTTAGACACCACATATGGTACCATATGTTAGACCTCAGTGGGATCTGTACATGGGTCCTCTGGGTATGTACACACACAAGGACATCCATCACCCGGGGCTGCTTTTAGCACTTTTCATTTTACTGACATCAGTTAGTTCCATGGTACCATGGCTATTCTCTCTTGTATGGTGACAACACTCTCTGATAACATGGCTATCCTTTCTTGTATGGTGACAACACTCTCTGATAACATGGCTATCCTTTCTTGTATGGTGACAACACACTCTGATAACATGGCTATTCTCTCTCTTGTATGGTGACAACACTCTCTGGTAACATGGCTATTTTCTCTTGTACAGTGACAACATTCTCTGGTAACATGGCTATCCTCTCTAGTATGGTGACAACACTCTATGATAACATGGCTATTTTCTCTTGTATGGTGACAACACTCTCTGGTAACATGGCTATCCTCTCTTGTATGGTGAGAACACTCTCTGATAACATGGCTATTTTCTCTTGTATGGTGACAACACTCTCTGGTAACATGGCTATCCTCTCTTTTATGGTGACAACACTCTCTGATAACATGGCTATTTTCTCTTGCATGGTGACAACACTCTCTGGTAACATGGCTATCCTCTCTTGTATGGTGACAACACTCTGGTAACATGGCTTTTCTCTCTTGTATGGTGACAACACACTCTGGTAACATGGCTATTCTCTCTTGTATGGTGACAACACTCTCTGATAACATGGCTTTTCTCTCTTGTATTGTGACAAAACTCCCTGGTAACTTGACTATCCTCTCTTGTACAGTGACAACATTCTCTGGTAACATCGCTATCCTCTCTTGTATGGTGACAACACTCTCTGACAAAATGGCTATCCTCTCTTGTATGGTGACAAACACTCTCTGGTAACATGGCTATCCTCTCTTGTATGGTGACAACACTCTCTGGTAACATGGCTATCCTCTCTTGTTTTGTGACAACACTCTCTGGTAACATGGCCATCCTCTCTTGTATTGTGACAACACACTCTGGTAACATGGTTATCCTCTCTTGTATGGTGACAACACTCTCTGGTAACATGGCTTTTCTCTGTTGTATGGTGACAACACACTCTGGTAACATGGCTTTTCTCTCTTGTATGGTGACAACACACTCTGATAACATGGCTTTTCTCTCTTGTATGGTGACAACACTCTCTGATAACATGGCTTTTCTCTCTTGTATGGTGACAACACTCTCTGACAACATGGAAGCCTGTAGCTCAATAAAGTTCATAAGCTAATTTAATTCACTGATAGGACTTGTGTGTAAAAGATAAATAAAGGATAAATGAAGGATCTGGCCCAAATGGCCAAACAGATTGATTTTTTAAAAGCAGCACCCAAAAAAATTACAGCTGTCATCTGATTGGTATCTGGGAGACTCCTCTTTCTTTTGCTGCACATTTGACATCCATCTGAAGCAGCAACGTCACACAATAGTGGTGGTGAAGCCTTCAGGTCTCATTCTCGGAGGATCTCTGGCACATCTGGTGTTAAGTGATGTGGTATTTTGCGTGTCCCCGGGTTCGGAAAATAATCTTACTCTCTGCGACAGGGGAAGCTTGAGGATTGTTATGCTGTTTGGGTCCTGGAAAAAAATAACTTGTTGATGTGATGACCTACAGATGTTTTCCAGAAGAGAGAGAGCAATGCTCTGCAGGCTTTTCAGCTTGTGGGGATTAATAAA